TCCATCCATCCATCCATCCATCCATCCATCCATCCATCCATCCATCCACTCATGCATTCAGCTACTATTTATTGAGTGCAGTAGAAAGAATGACTGTATGAGGCACTGAAAATTCTGTTCCATTCAAACTCTGGTCACAGTCAAAAGTGATGTAATGGCATAAGACTTATTTTGGACTCAGGTGACTGTCCTTGGCTAACTGCGATCTCTTGGACAAATCAAAAGAGAGAAAAGTGAAATATCACAGGAAAACAGGCATTGACTAGGGTCATTTCAATAACCTCTATAGAGCTACATTCCTGTTTGATTCCCCTTTCCCCCACTTTTAAAATCATTCTTGACCCTTATCAGTATTGACATCTACAGGGGAAAATCCAAGAGTGAGTAAGGAAGGGGGCTGGAGGATGGAAAGGATGCTGTTTTTAATGTTTTCTTAGCAACATGCAAGATTTAAAATTTTGTCTGCAGAGAATTTGTGAACCAGCTGTAAGATAGAACCAAGCAGAATGGAACTGCTTTTACCTAATAAAGGGAGATTAGATTTTCCAAGACTCCTCCCCAAATACCACAATTTGGAAGGAATACCACATTTAAGCTCCAGGACCATCAATGGGATCCTTGTAATGCTAGTTCTGTGACTTTAGGCAAGGCACTTTATCCCCTCTGAACCTCACTTTTCTTACTTGTAAAATGGGGGTAATAATGCTTGAGAAACCCCACCTCCTGGGGTTGTGGTGAGGAGAAAATGTTTGTGAAATACAATATAAATGTGAGCTGAAATTATTAAGCAAGAACTCAGACTTTCTGAATATCTGATCAGAAAACTAAGTGTTTTACAGAGGGGTTAATAGCAGACAGATCTTCCCTAAACAAGGCTTTGGTTGAATTAATTCCCAAATCCATTACACGATGTACTCTTTGTTTTTTAAACCAATATTTCAATTATAATATTATAGCGAGTAAATTCCCTTGATGACAACGATGATGAGTTTTTGATTAAAAAAAAATCTTAGGCATATACTCTAAGAATGGCTGCTCTATCAAATAAAGCCCTCCCTTTTGCAAACAAGTCAAATAAATCAAGAACTGAAGAAAGTAGCAGGGTTATTTATGATGTTCATTCCCGCTTGCCTTTGCCATCCTCCTGTGAAATAAATATGTTTATTAGCACGTTGTGGGGAAAGCTGGGTTTTGGGAGGATCTGCCTATCTGTAGCCTCTTGCGCCCCTTAGCGGACCAAGCTGCTGGAGCCCCGTTCTTGGCACCGCTGTAGCTAAGCCAGTCCTCGGTGCTTCATTCACCCTTGTAAACCACTGCCTCCTGCAAGACACCCGCTTCTCCCTTGGGCTCCCGGCTCAGCTCAAAGCTGGACAGCTTGGCACAAGGACGCAGGAAGAGGCTGGAGGTGGAGGAGATTGCCTCAGGACTGAACCTAAGCCCGGGAGATTCGGTCTTTGAAAGATGGGGGAGAGCAACTTCATAGAGGAGAAAACTTAGGGGCACCCGCGAGTTTGCCCCAGGAGCAGGTAGGAGCGGTGGGCACTTGGCTGGAGAGGGGATGGTATACTAGCACTGGAGGTGATAGGGCAGAGTGGCCACAGAGGAGAGGCAGGGAGAGGGATAGGAAAGATTTAGATTAGTCTTCTCAGGAGGCTTCCTAGGGATGCTCCGGGAGAGGTTGAAAGCTTGCAATCTCAGAGAGCGCGGGCTGGGATTCTAAATTGCCCTTCTGTACCCGGATCCAGCCTGCAGAGGATTGCGCGTCGGAGGTCTCACGCAGACTTCTGAGGGACTCAGAGGCCGGGGGCGGGCTGGAAGGTGGGTGGGAAAGGATGATACTGTGGGGCCCTCGGGCTTTCTATCTTCCACTCTGTTTGCTCACAGGTTAGGACTTCGGAGAGCAACTGAGCCCAGCTCCTGGAGCTCCCCCTACTCTCTGGGGCGGTGGAGACGAAGACACTCTGGACCCCCGAACCATCTTCACGCCAGCACCGTCGCGTGCTAGACCTCTTCGGTATCTCGCCCCTAGGAGAAGGAGGGGCGCCGGTAGGGACGGGAGGGGCAGGACAGCTGGTCCGGCGCGCGCAACTCCCCCTCTCGTGAGTCTGTCTTATAAAGAGCGCTTCCCGGCTGGTGGCCAAGCAGAGGCGAGGAGCGGAGCGCAGCTCCCGAAGACGCGCAGCGGGGTGCGTCTCGGCACGGCTCCTGGGTCACTCTCTGGTAGTCTGAACGCTATGGCCGGAGCCCGGGGCAGCGGGCTGTGAGACATTCGGCAGGCAGCAAAGTCAGCAAGACTCCTGCCCACCATGGAGAGCCCCAGCGAAGCGGCAGAACCGGGGTCCCTGAACTGCAGCGCCAACTGGAGCCTGGAACTCTCCAGCAACCGCAGTTCTGTGCCCGTCCAACGCAACGAGGCCATGGCCAAGGTGGAGGTGACTGTGCTGAGTGTGATCCTCTTTTTGGCGCTGACCGGCAACCTGTGCGTCCTGCTGGCCCTGAGCACCACCCGCCACAAGCACTCCCGCATGTTCTTCTTCATGAAACATCTCAGCATCGCCGACCTAGTGGTGGCTGTGTTCCAGGTGCTGCCCCAGCTCCTTTGGGACATCACCTTCCACTTTTACGGACCCGACTTCCTCTGCCGCCTCGTCAAGTATCTGCAGGTGGTGGGCATGTTCGCCTCCACCTATCTGCTGCTGCTAATGTCTCTGGACCGCTGCCTGGCCATCTGCCAGCCGCTGCGCTCCCTGCGCGGTCAGTCGGACCACCTCTCAGTCCTCTGCACGTGGTTGGTGTGCCTGGTGGTCAGCGTGCCTCAGATCCAGATCTTCTCCTTGAGGGAGGTGAGCGAAGGCGTATACGACTGCTGGGCGGTGTTCATCCAGCCCTGGGGACCCAAGGCGTACATCACCTGGATCACACTGACTGTCTACATCATCCCAGTGCTGGTGCTCAGTGCCTGCTATGGGCTTATCAGCTTTAAAATCTGGCAGAATTTGAAGCTTAAGACAGCTCATGAGCCCCGAGCTGCTGGGCCCTTGGCCTCATCTGTTACCTGTGGGGCAGATGCTAGCGATGGGGCAGCTCTGTCTCGGGTCAGTAGCGTCAAGCTCATCTCCAAGGCCAAAATACGCACCATCAAGATGACCTTTATTATTGTCTTGGCCTTCATTGTGTGCTGGACTCCTTTCTTCTTCGTTCAGATGTGGTCTGTTTGGGATCCCGATGCCCCTAAAGAAAGTAAGACGGGGGATGTCCACAGAAGGGTGGGAAGGCTCATCTCTCCTCAGCTGTGGGTTTTGGGTATAAACCATAGTCATAGTCCTTCTCCTGGCCCTTCTTGTTTCAGTGGTGACACTTTAGCTCCTGGGTAGAGGGCTGGAAGGGGGCAATGGGGTGGTCAATGAGTTTAGGACACACATAAGTGCCAGGGTAGAATGAGTATCCAAGGTAGGGACTGTGGGGAGCTACTGTCTGAAGAACTACCTAAACTTGAGGGGAGAGGAGGGTCCTTAAAATATCTAGCTCTGATTGGGAGAATAGAGAGCCCAACTTCTGCTGTCTCAGAACCAAGTTATCTAATCCCCAGATGTGAGATGATACCAACACAAAATAAGTATCAGGCACAATGCTGAGGTATGCTCTATCCTTCCTGCAGCTTCCTTCCCCTTAGACAAGCGCTGCTTTCCCTCTGCGAGAATGGGGAAGAGTAATGCTTCACCATTCTTAAGATTATAGATTTAGAACTGGAAGGGACCTATTACCTACTCACTTAGTCCACCTTCCCCCTAATTTTACAGATTAGGAAAATGAGGTTTAGATAGGTTAAGTGATTTGCTCAGGTCACACAGGTAGCAACTTCAAACCCAGTTCCCTTGACTCCAAATTCAATGTTCTTTCCAAGGTATTATATTGTCATAATGTGTTAAAATGTCCTGAGCACATGGGTGATAGCTAATAAGTTTTTACCTTCAACAATGTGAACCTACACTCCCCAAAGCAGTCTCACTTTCTGCCAGGGCATGTGGTTTCATTCACTTCATTGTGTATGTGGCTCTTTGAGGCTGAATGAGATAACTGCTTTGTAGAGCTAACAGGCAAATGTTTTGGGAAGAAAGAAGAGAGGATCTCTCCTCCATCACTCTTTAGCTGGCTACAGTTGGCTGCCCAGCTGCCCTCACACACACATAAACATATATATGTATACATATATGTATTTACATGTATGTATATACATATACATATAGATATGTATTAGTTAGCCATTATGTGTCCCTTAGCTTTATTTTTCCTGTAGTTAATTAATGCACAAAAGAAAAAAAGAGTTCCCTACTCCTACTGCAGAGAACAGGGAAATACATTAGCAAAGGGAATTTTAGGTCATGGTGATTTCCTTTGCTTCTCTGACTTTTATTTCCTCCAAAGAAAACAGTGTGTGCCAAATGAGTTATGCAGGGTGTTTCTCTGGTTTTCAACATTATTATTTTATGCATAGTGTTATGAGAAGAATACCAATGCAGACAGAAGCCAGGATGAATAATTCTGCTATTGCTATGAAGATGAAATTCTTACCTACTCACCCAACATTTTTCTTTAAAAATTTTTTTGTTAAATTTTTTATTTTTTTCAATTAATATAATATAATCATTAATATATTATTAATAATATACCAATATAATATATAATAATATAATTTTCCAATTAATTTTCAATTAATGAGTATTTATTTTCTCTTCTTTTCACTTCTTCCCTCTCTGCTAAAAAAAAACCCAAACCCCTGTAATAAATATACATCATGAAGCATAACAAATTTCCACATGTCCCTTGCCCCAAAATGTGTCTCATTCAGTATCTTGAGTCTGTCACCTCTCTGGGAGAGTGAGCATAGATCATGCTTCCTCTTTGGTCCCCTGGGATCATGATTGGTCACTAGACAGTGGGAGCTAGACATGAGTGGGGTGGAGGGGAGGTGGCCAAAAGCCAGCCACCTGCCCAGATACAAGAAGGCTGCTGGGTCAGGGGGGACAACCTGCTCAGATTCAGTCCTCAACAGAAGGAGAGAGGATGTGAGGACAGGCAGTATTCTCTGGAAAGGGGGCTCCTACCCTTAGTCTGGAGCAAATTAACTTAGAGAAGTGTAAGCAGCAAATTAGATCCCAGGGCGGAGACTATTTATATAAAAATGACCACATGTGGATTTTGTGGTTGATCTTTGGTGGCCATAAGTGGCTGAAAATGTAACCAGTAAGAATATTAAATGGCATCCATTGTATCTAGTCTAGAAGAGGCTTAGCAAGTGCTTAGAAGGAATAATAAGACAAGATTGCAAAACCATGGGGTTCATTGTGAATAGAATAGCGGAGTTTTACAGGCAGTGCTGGGGAAAGAACACTGGATTTGGAGACGGATGACCTGGGTTCAAATGCTGAATGTGTGGTTAAGGAAAATCACTTAACTTTTATGGGACTCAGTTTCCTCAGGCAGCATGGGGGAACTAGCATGATGGAAAGAACAAATCCATGAAATCTGAAGACAGAGGACCTGGGTTCAAATCCCAGTTCTGCCACTGTATGACCTTGGGTAAGTCATTCCTCTTTAAAGGGAGGGAGTTAGACTAAATGACCTCTGAGGTTTCTTCCAGGTCTAACTCTATGTTGCTACAAAGTAAGCCCTTGCCATTGTCATCTTGACAATTGATAAGGGTTACTAGGTAAGTGTGAAACTAATAGGCTGTCTTTCATCTCCTCCCCCTCCCCAGTCTGAGAGGTGGGAATAGGAGTCATATAGCATTTCTTCATGTAGGACAACTCATCTTCAGTGTTGCCACAGCTGAAGCAAAAGAACGGTGAAGGTAGGGGCAGCTAGGTGGAGCAGTGGATAGAGCACTGGCACTGGAGTCAAGAGGACCTGAGTTCAAATCTGGCCTCAGACACATAACACTCACTAGCTGCCTGACTTTGTCCAAGTCATTTAACCCACCCTCCCCGCCCAGTTGCCTCACAAAAAAAAAATGGTGAAGGTAATTGCATAGAACCCAGGATTCCAGTATTGGTTCTGACACTTGTACGAGGTGTGTGGTCCTAGGCAAGTCACTCAGACCCTCTGAGCCTCAGTTTCCTCATCTGTAAAATGGAAATGATAATGCGTTATTTGTCCTACTTTATCCTAGGGAGGCAATTGTGAGTACAGATGCTTATAAACTTTAAGGGCTATGTTAGCCTGAGTCACTATTACTATGTTTACTGTGTTTCTCCAGACTTATGATTTCCTCAGTGTAAGGAATTCCATCGCCAACGATTGGCAACTCATTCATAATGCATAATGCATGATGCTTGAGGAAGGAGTGGGATAAGTAAGAGATTAAATGACTTCTTTTAGTGGCACAATACTTAGTCCAATGATTATAGTAAGGATAAGTGACACACTTTGGAGGCAGGTAGGTGGTGCAGTGGAGAGAGTGCTGTGCCTGGAGTCAGGAAGACCTGAGTTCAAATATGGCCTCAGGTACTTGACCCCGGGCAACTGTTTCCCTCAGTTTCCTCATCCATAAAACAAGCTGGAGAAGCAAATGGCAACACTCCAGTATCTTTGTCAAGAAAACCCCAAATGGGGTCAGGAAGAGTTGGATACTATTAGTATTGTCATAGCTAAGATTGGAATCCAGGCTCTTTGCAAGTTAGAGGTAGGGCTTAATTCCTGGCCTTCTCAACTCCAAGCAAACCAGTTAATAAACATTTATTAAGCAACTACTACATGCCAGGTCCAAGGCCAGGCCCCTATTGATTACACCATGCAACCCCTCCTTTACTATATTCTTCAACATGCCGGCAGATGTTTAACAATGGTCTCTCCAAAAAAGTATTGACTACTTTAAAAATTAATCTGCATTATTAAGATTTCTCCATCACCTTCTTAAAATTAGAAATCAATAATGCAATAGATCAAGTCCTGAATTGTAAGGTTTGCCAATTTTCAAGGTGTAAATACTTACACTAAAAATGTAATGATTGGTTCTTGCAGTCCAGTACACCTTTGACTAAAGTAGGATTAAAACAGAGGTAAAAATCAATCATCACTAGTTCCGTCCCCCCAGTGAGGGATGACTAACCCACAGGGGAAAAAAAAAACTAAGGCCATGATTTATTAAGAAGCAACTTTTGTTTTTGAGAAACAGCTCAATAAAGTATGAGAAGGAAAAAGAATAAGAAACTTTAGTAAGTATAAAACATTATAGCAATAAATGTTTGTTCCATATAATGGCCAGTGAAAGTGAGAGAAACAGAGAGAACCTGAGAAGGGAAAGGAAGAGACTGTCTTGGAGTTTCCTAGTCCTAGGCGATGGTCTCATGTTTAGATGAAGTTGGTGGTCACATTTCAGGTATAATTCAAAAGGCCTGGGACAGGCCCTTCTGCCCTGGAACATTTCTTCCAATTGGATGCCACATTGCCTGAGATTTAACATAAAAAGTTTCTTCCTTTTGCTTAAGTACTGTCCTCTTTTAAAAATGCAACTTCCCCTGGAAGAGATAGCACATTAGATCACTAACATTTGAATGTGGAAGAGTGCAATCCTCATTTTTGATTTTAGCATAGAGTTCATGATTGGGGGCAAGGTGAGGAATCTCGATAAGTTTTGCATCTTTTACTGAGTTAGATACTGTTCATCACAATGAAATTTCCAGGACAGTTGAAAATTTGGGACAATTGATTGCAGTTGATTGTGGTAAGGTGTGTGTGCCTTCCTGCTGGAGAAGCCCAGGAAAGGGGCAGAGAGATAGTGCTGGAGTTGAGGACTCTTAGCTGTGGCATGGATGACTTCAGGACAGGAGGAAGGAACAATGGGCAGTGGTATTAGGGGTATGTTGCTCCTTTTCCTGAGCTTCAAGTGACTTCCTTCTAAGAAGGACCAAGCAAGAATTTTTTTTTTATTCATTGATATGCCTGGTCCTTCTAGTGTTTTAATATCACCCCCTTTACCCTCTTCTTCCTCACCAAATTACAGAATTCCCTGGGAAGGAGTAGAAAGGCATTGGGTAGCACTAGGGGCTGGGCTGAAGTCTAGTATGGTGAAAAGGATGAAAGATGCTGCTAGTCAAGAGACCTGGCCCTGCCTCTCTAAGCTGGTACTCATAAAGCTAGAGTTTCATGACTTGGGCAAGTCATTTAACTTTTCTGTGCCTTGTTTTCCTCATCTGTAAAATCTAGATAATAATACTTAGACTGGTAACAGCTAGTATTTG